TTTAGTGACATTTGGTCCGCTTTTCAGTAAAACATTTTTCTTTATGGTGCGAAAATTTCAATTTGTTGATATAAATTGTTTGTTAACCAACAAACAGAAAGTTCGTTGATGTAAGTAGATTGGAAGCTTCGAATTTTTGTTAAACTGTTAAAAAGTTGTACGATTTTTTTTAAATTTCTAGTCAAGTTTAAACATTTTTGAAAAATCAGCAAAAGTAGAGGTTTTAGTGGAATTTGGTCAGCTTTTTGATGAAACCTTTTACTTTATGGAGCGATATTTTTAGTTTCGTGATGTAAGTGGGTTGGGAGTTATGATATTTTGTATAACCACACTTCAAGTTGGATGGTTTCCTTCATTTCTCGGAAAGTTTAAAATTTTTTGAAAAATCAGCAAATGTGGGCATTTTAGTGGAATTTGGTCCGCTCTTTGATGAAACCTTTTTCTTCATGGTAGGGTTATTTAAGTTTCTTGATGTAAGTGAGTTATGAGTTACGAATTTTTGTTAAACTGTTGTTAAAATGTTGTACGGTTTTTTTTATTTCTAGTCAAGTTTAAACATTTTTGAAAATCAGCAAAAGTAGGGATTTTAGTGGAAATTGGTCGACTCTTTGATGAAACAGTTTTCTTCAAGGTGCTATAATTTAAGTTCCTTGGTGTAAGTGGGTTGGGAGTTACGAATTTTTTACACTTCAAGATGGACCGTTTTCCTAATTTCTCGTCAAGTTTAAAAAATTTTGAAAAATCAGCAGAAGTGGAAATTTTAGTAGGACTTGGTCAATTCTTCGTCTAAACCTTTTTCTGTATGGTGCGAAAATTTTAGTTTGTAGATGTAAATGGTTTTGGAGTTACGAATTTTTGTTTAACTCCACTTTAAGTTGAGCGGTTTTTCAATTACTCGCCAAGTTTCAAATAATTTGAAAAATCAATTAAAATTGGTATTTTAGTGACATCTAGCTCGCTTTTCGATAAAACGTTTTGCTATATAGCCCAAAAATTTCAGTCTGTTAGTGTAATTTCATTGGAAGTTACGAATTTCTGCTAAACTGTCGTTAAAAAGTTTTACGCTTTTTTTTATTTCTAGTAAAGTTTAAACATTTTTGTAAAATCAGCAAAAATGGGGATTTTAGTGCAATTTGCTCGGCTCTTTGATGAAACCTTTTTCTTCATGGTGCGATAATTTAAGTTTCTTGATGTAAGTGAGTTGGGAGTTACGAATTTTTGTATCACTACCCTTCAACATGGACGTTTTTCTTAATTTCTCGTCAAGTTTAATTTTTTTGGAAAAATCAGCAGAAGTGGGGATTTTAGTAATATTTGGTCTCTCATCGGTTAAACCTTTTTCTGTATGGTGCGAACATTTCGGTATGTTGATGTAAATTTTTTTCCTAAAAGATACGAATTTTTGTTTAACTCCACTTTAAGTTTGTTTTTCAATTTGTGGTCAAGTTTAAAATTTTTGAAAAATCAACAGAAATTGGGACTCTTTCCACTTAATTCAGCCCACACTTTCGTGCCACTTTCCGTCTATTTTCTCTCCGAAAATGAATCATTGCCCGTTGAAAAGGGCACCCCTTATACGATGAAATCAACAGTGCGGTGACCCGAAAACACCGATATCTGTTACTTGTTGCTCACCATGTCAGCTGAAGGGTGGGCAACGTTCAGCTGTTTCGTGTACACCTGGGACGTCCCGGACACAACAGCTGATATGAAACACCCCGACCATCTGGACATGTTGATGTGATTAGCAGTGGGAGCAAAAAACAAAGTGAATCGCAACAGGACAAATTAATGAATATGCCCATCGTCGCCCACTGCCGATCGATTTTCATGCCATAATTTAACAATTCCGTCTACGTTATTAACCCTCGTTTGAGCTGACTAATTAAATAATTCAATTTAAGCCTACAGTGTGCCGTTCTGGCTCACGTGACCCGAGAACGACAGCTGTCCAGCACACATTCGGACAGCCATCGAGCCCCCAAATCGAACGGACCGGACAGCCTGGACAATTCGAAATTATTTTAATACTTTGGCCGGAAAAAATATATTCAAATAAATATTTCAGCCAATATCGCGTATATTTGGCAAATTTATTCAAATAGCAGTGCTAAAGCGACCTTGAACGTCGCTGGCATCTGAAATGCCTTCAAAAACCCATGAAAAATATCTGAAGAATCACACGCATGAAATAGAAAGAATTTCAAGTAAATAATATAGGGTGGTCTTCAACTGATGTGACTACCAATCTGACTTTCGACTGCGTAAATGACATAATACTGACAACTGGTTCTCTTCTTGTCAAAATGACACATTCCAGATTATTTGAAAAAACTGAAATAAGTCGAGGAAGGATGGTCAACAAAAACAGTCGCTGAGAGCCTTGGAAAACCAAAGGGCACGAATTATAAAACTGTAAAGAAATTAATTACATTGTCAAATTAAGACAAGTTTGGGACCTGCGACATTTGACGTATTCCACAGAGCCTGATTAACCAAAACGAAAAAAATCGCTTTTTTATTCAAATGAATTTAAAAGTGCTATTTTTCGATCAGAAGCGATTTTCTTAAAGAAGCACTTTTCTTTACTGCTAATTTGTTTTGCTTTTGCGCACATGTGCGTAAAAGTGACAAATTGAACCTGTCAATGTCATTATATTTTT